CGAATCTTTCCATTCGCGTTCAATTCTGAAAAAGATTTCAATCTCTAAAACATTATCTGATAACCGATTTCGATATGAAATCGAGAAAAAAAATGTCACAGACGATTTCCATTTAAAAACCTGGTGAAAAGATGCAGTGGTGTGGACACGAATTGCAAAAGCTCGGTGCGAAACTCCGAGCATGTATCAAAGCCGTGGCAAACACGCTCGCCACGGGGGTAACTGTGCAAACAGGATAATTAACACCTTTCGACCTCTGCATTACGGGTGCAACGAACGATTCTTGTGTACTTTTCCATGCGCGGATTTCGCGCCGTTGTTTGCGCCAACTTGCGATCGATCGATGCACTCTCGCGCGAAAATTCGCATTCAAGGTAACGATTCTTCGCGATTAAAGCGATTAATCGTTGGATCGTAGTGCACGAGTTTCATGTCTGTGATTGTTAAAAACTACCTTTATATATCAATTAATTTTTAGGAAAGAATCAACGATAATCTTATAATTTTTGTTGAATTTTATTTATTTGGATATATATTATATTCCGTATATTTAATATCACGCGTGTTCCCTCTTCTGTTACGCTTTCAATATGTTAATTCTATGGAAAGGGAAGAGTTCTCCATCTGTTGTGAACTAGATACCAGAATATCAAACTCGTGTGAAAACAACGCTCGAACAACAAAACCTCGTTCGCTCTTTATGAATTAAATCGCTTCTTATAGATAATATTATACTATCGCCGTACTCTTCATATTTTTTAAATTACACTGTGAATAAAAAAATACAAAAAATCCCAACGGGCCATCGTTTCGTCTCCATCGAAAGGCGCGAAGGAGGCTGCAAGATTTATCACGATTCCTCCTCTTCCATTGACGAAAGGATCACTGGCACGTGACCCAGCTATCAATCCCTCTCCTTCGCCACCTACCTTTCCAACTTCCACTTTTCCTCTCGAAACGGACAGAAGTAGTCACCCTCGACCGAGGAGAGAAGAGATCAGGGCGGAAAATCCGATCGTGGCCGAGAATTTGCTCATGCCCTGAATTATTCAACCAGCCAGCGAGCGAGCGCGATCATTGACGGCCTCATTAATAATTTGTCGCTCGATCAACGAGCCCTCTCGAAACGGGACCCCTTCTAAACTCAGGTTTCGGAGGTGCACTCGCAGCCTCTCTCCTCGCACGTGCCTCGAATGAAACGCACGCGTGCACGCGCTGAGTCATCGAGGACTTTGAACCGCCGAAAAACTGAGAATACTAATAAGGACGAGGAGGTGGATGGATGCGCACAACGGTTCGATCGTGAGCCGAGTGTGTCCTTTCGGATTAACGCTTTTTCGCCGCTCTGACGCTGCGCTCGGACGTTGATCGGAAGAAAAAAGGGGTTATTCTCTTTTGTGTTCAGATGCCACTACCAGAGAGTGGGTTTTCAAGCATTCTGCGGAAGTAGAATCGAATGAGGAAAATATGGAATTGGGGAAGGATCGTTCTATTGGATATTGAAATAAGGAACTCGATTTGGAATATATCCAAAAATGGAATTTCCAAAGTTTAATAGAGATGAATTGATAATTATTCTTCGATCGATTTGTAACAAAGATTCGAATATACTTTTCTCAAAATATATTCTCAAACCCATTCCCTTCGAAGGAATTGCGCTCTTATCTTGCCAAAAGCTTTTCACTTCTGGAGGATTCAATCTCGCTTAAGAAGATATTCTCGACTCTCTGCCGATCGAATACAGAATTAAACGGCACTTCGCTTAAAGTCATCGCGATGGGAATAGGCGGTTGGTCCATTAAGCGGAGTCAGGTGAAAGGCGGTTCAGTCGGAGGGGTCGAAACGAGAGATATCGCGGAATACAATCTGGTAAAAGCCGAGTGACCACCGCGTGTGCGAGGCTTAAGGGATGCTCCCGCCCGGATTTATGGAGCCTTAAATCCCGGCCAACGTTCCTTTCCTCCTCCTTCTCCTCTTCCTCCTCCTTCTCCGCCGCCTCGCCATTCTTTTTCGGGGGTTGCCACACTCGTGATGCGATCTTGTCCTTTTTCATCACTAACTCGATCGCCACGCGGTCGACAAAGGAGCTAAAGTTCATCGAAGGCGACTTTTTCTTCGATGTTGCATACATCTCGAAGAAGTTACTGAATATTTCTATATAGAAATGCTTCTTTGCGTTCTGCAGCAAACGTTGCCGCTTATGTTATCCGTTTCCATTCGAAGATCAAAGAAGAAATACGCAACTCACTGATTTCGTTATCATCGATATTAATGCAGTCTTAATAATAAATGAATACATGGAAGAGATATATTAACGAATAATAAGAATCTTTTCTAAATAGAAAATGTATATAGTTTTGGAAATTAACAAGTAGTTGCGAAAGATTACATAAAGTTCTTCGATATTACTTAAAGTTTACCACGTGGTTACTTCGTAATCGTTTTTCTCGAACGAGGATATAAGAGTTACAGAGGCTTTCGTATATCGGTTTTATAGCTCGTGACGGTTCGACTGAGGGCCATTGTCGACTTTTCCATTCTTCTTTCGATGCTTTATTATCCCATTGAATAACGCGCGGTTATTATTTGTTACGATAAAAGGATGTTTGAACGAATATAAAAGATTTTTCTCGGTATCGCCGGGTTGTTTTACGAAGTCACGTTGACGTAAGGACGAAGTAGAAATTAAGGAATACGATAGCTGAATCCGTGAGGGGAGGGAAGAATACTTTAACGTATTCTAAAAGGAATTGCTTATACAACGGGTAAGGTGGGCACGTCGATCGATAACCGCACGTGAGTTTCATTCGGGACACGTGTGTCGCGTGAAAAATTTACGTTCCTAACGAGATTCACCGGTGACGCATCTCAATGGCGTATCGAAAGGATTCGCCGAACGATTGATAAATTTTTCGACCACTTTCACGATATTATATATATATATATATATTTATAAATATTTTTCTTACAATAACGATTCATAATTTAAGATGATAATTCACATAGATCTAATTCTTCTTTCAACCTATGAACGCAATCAATCATTTATATCTACCCTACGTTCCCTTACTGTATCATCAATCAAAAAGGAATTATTCTTCTTGTTCATCCATTCTTCTCCATCCTTAATATATCGTATAACACGATACGATAATGTACAAGCTTATTAGAAAATTGAACTTATATCTTGTCTGTTTTTCATTTAAAAACAAACTCGAACAATTTCTTCAGCTCTACGACAAAACACGATCCTAAACAATCTGTATGAGAAATAGCAATAGTCTGGGTAACAAGAAAAAGGCGAATCCTCTGAAGAAAACAGGAAGCTCTAGCAAACGAAGCAACGAAGAATTCCAAGAGAAATTGAAACGTCGAGGAGGAATCGGGAATCTCGATGCTCTGGGTTTACGATCATCAAAGCTTGAGCCGCGATACGAACAAATTCACTTTCCAACTCCGATTTATCATGGACGTCGTTAAATCGGGGCCGACATATCGAGTTAAATCGCGCGAAATACCGCTTTCGGCGCATTGGCCGTGCGCAATTATTGATAGAGCAACGGCCGGTGGCGTAGGCCGCTTTCACAATCGAAAGGGTGCAATCAATGTGCCGTGCAACGATTTAAATTCATGAATAATTCCAGCCGAAGATCGACGAGGTTTCCTCTCTCTCTCTCTCCTTTTCCGCCTATTTTTCTCCTTTATTCGCCGTCCTCTTCCATCTCGCGTCCCTCTCTCTCGATTTAATCAGAGAAAATCCCTTACGCGAATGCCTCCTTTCGATCTTGGAACGAAGGTCGCCTGATGAAATTTCGAGACGTTCGCGTGAGTTTCAATTTTGGAGTTGGACAATTTCGAGATACGATCGGGGAGAACGATCGATCTGTCTGTGAAAAAGAGAGGGAATCGAGGTCGTTACGATATAAAGTTATCATCGGTTTATGATGTATGTTTTTTCTTTGAAAATGAGATTACCATGCTATAATTCGTCTTTTTTTTTTCTTTTCTCTCGTCTAACTTATTCTTTTGTCGAATTTTTTTTTAGATTATCCAAATTCAGAAGTTTGAATACATCAATGTTTTATTTTATATTTTATACCGGTTCACGTTCGAACAAATCCGTATTAAAAATACTATTTGAAAAAGTACGATTAATCCGAAAGACCAATTTACTTTCATTCTTCCATATAATTCGACCGAAATTAATTCTAGCACGAAATCCTCTGTAACGAACGAACGTCCTCCACCGAAATGAATCGCGTAAACAATTCTCGATTTGCATTTTCTTTCTGCCTGTGTTGCTTTCCCACGCTCGAAATAGCCAAAAACTTGGCAAGAAATCGATGGACAAGCCCCTAATAAACGCAAAACGAGGTATAAGGTTGTCCTGGCAGGAAGATGATCGTAAATAGGAAAGTGGGCGAGTTTTTCCACGTTTTATTCTCCCGTTTATTCCCTGTTTTCCTTTTATTCGATTCATTACAGCGGAGATGCGACGATAAATCCGCTCGTTCGAAAAAGCGCATAAAAATAAAATTCTCTCTCTGCGGGTTCAAGGGGTGGAAGAAGAAACGGCATTGAAAATTATCACGGGCGAGCGGGGAGCGTTCGTTCTGATTCGTTTGAACGTATGTAGAGAAGATATTATGCCCGTTTCGATTGGAAGATCAATGGATGTGAGGAGAAATAAATTTGCACATGAATAAGACGCGCTCTTGATGACCGCTATGGAGGGCAGTGGAACGGTTTCTCTGAACGATGCAGAAGGAGAATTGATTTTGTTAAATGGTGGGGATGATGAGAAAGAAACGTGTGTTTTTGTTAACCGAGCAGATGTAATAGATTTTTTACACGTTGAAATTAAAAAGATGCGATCAAGAATAACCCATCGTTGTTGGATACGTTTTTTGGTACGATTGAATTTAGCAAAAATGCGATCAAAGATAGTACTTTCTAACTTTATTTCGATCTACAAGGAAATGTTAATTTGCTTGTTACAGAGAGAGGCTACGCAACGAGATGTGGAACGCGAACGACGACAACGAATGGAGGCCGAAGCTCGGGTGCGCGAGGCTACGGCTGAAGCTGAAAGAGCACGCTCCAGGGTTCATCATCTTCAGAGAGAACTGGCCAGGTAAGATTCGATCTATATTCTATTTATCATACAAATTAAACAGGATCTGGCCCGATTGTAATTTAAATATTTGACACATTAGATTTAAAAGCAAACATATAAAAATAAAAATAATATATTTCCTCTTTGGAAATCTAGTTAGAATGAATAAAAAAATTCGCTGGAGTATCGACTTCTTTTTTTGTTGTTGTTTTTCCCATGCGCATCGTTTGCACAACGCGTTTCCATTTAATTAAAATACATCGAAACAATAGAACAAAAAAAAAAAAACGCTGTTCGACCAGTGGAATGGAAAAAAATATGTACGTACATGAAATACATACCTAGTTGAGCTCGAAAGGAATACGTGCTTTTAATTATTTTTTTTTTTTTTTTTTTATCTATTTCAAGTGAATTGACTTTCGAAATTAATTATCTCGAAAATTCCGTCTAAACAAGTTGAACAAAAATTTTCATCGTCATAAAATATTCCTTTACACTCGAGATACACGTCTTCGCATCTTCATTTCTTACGTATACCTTTTATTACAGATTTTTTTATCGCACGCATAATTACACATATAACTCCCTCATCGATCGATTTCCTCCAGTATAAGTATATATACCATTTTTTTGCACCATTCTGGTAAATCAAGGTCTCCCAAGGTGACCCAAGAAAACCGCTTTGCACACAAGAGGTCCGTCCACCATTTCCATCGATGGACAGGAAAAGAGAAATCAGGCCTGTAAATCGATGCGGTTGGCAAACATCCGGTAATAATTCGAGACGGCGCGCTTGTCCGACATCGATCTCTCCTTCCTTTGCCTTCCTCTCCACCCCACGTCATCCAACGCTCTCTCTCTCTCTCTCTCTTGCACACTGGCCGTGAAAATCGCCTATTTCATCGCAGACATCGCCGCTTTATTTCCCGTCCACCCCGGCAAAAGTATCAACCTCTCGATATAACGTTATAAATAATGAAACCGCGTTTCCCACGCAATAACTAGCGGATTTCATGGTAAATCATCGGCATTGGCGTATCTCCAATAACCTATCTCGGCCATCCACCCGCCTCGATGTATTATCGCGGGTGGTTGTATCGAGATTACTAGTTTTCAGCCTGAATCTGTATAGTATAGCTTGAATCGATTCGACGGTGAACGTTTTACGTACCCTTGGTTAACGTTTCGAACACCGGATGCAACCGATAGGTGTTCACCGTGTTGCGTGGGATTAGCGGGAGGCGCCTGCGTTTGATGGCAGGTTTGCGGAGATTCGAGTGTTTGCGCGATTCATCATCCGTTGGATCGTGTGGAATGTTTTGGGGATCGTTTTGAACGATACGAAAATATCGGGAGAAAGGAAATATATTATTCGTTTATTTTAATTAATTGGAGGCGAATTAATATTTGAAAAGAGATCTCCCGAATTTTTTTGAGAAAGTATCCAAAGATAAGGGATTATATTCTTATATCTTCTCTCTTATGTGTTGGACTTTTATCTATATCGGGATATCTCGCTCTCGGAAATGATATGGACCGGAAGTATCGTACGTCGCATCGAAGTATCGGAAATTGAAAATGTGCAACGTTAAATCGTAAGAAGAAGAGGAGAGACCTTTCTCGAAGGATCACGTCCACTGTAAACTCTCTATAGATTTATACTACACATATAAATCTTTGATCAAGAGAAGAAAAGGATTCCATTATCGAACAATTTTATATAATTTCCCATTCACTTCACTGTTAATGGAATCGTTGAACGATTATAACGGCTCCTATCTTCTTGTCCTTCCTTTTATCCATATACTAACTCCGGTGTTAAGGAAGAAATTAAAACGATCCATTAACAAATCTTATCGACTCGTTATTTCATCTTGACAGAGACGAGTAATCGATGTAATAACGATCGACCAGTAATTCATAGCCTCTCGATACACGGTGTGCAAGATTCCGGAAATCGATTTCTTCGCTTCCCTTCTTCGAGTGGAAGAGTTAACTTGCTCGCGTGTTTTAAACTGCTCGAGAGAAAAATTGGAAAACGAGAAAGATTCGAGGTCGTTGGGTGTTAATCGGAATTCCGTTGATGATTACGCAGTCGCGATTGCACTGATTCGGGAGAATCGTATAAATTGCATAATTATACGCGACTCATTAGTCATGTCCAATTACACAGAGCAAGCGTTAAATAGGGTATTAAGTGCGGTGTGTGCAAAATGCGAACGTTGAAGCAACGTTAAAGCCCGCCTCTTTCGTAAATGGATAAAATTTCATTCCTGCGCCCCGATCGTATCCGGGCAATCGGGAGGCCGTGGAAAGGGGAGAGGGGGTGGTATTGAATTCGAAAATTTTCATCGATACGGTTGTCTGCGTGCCATGGAAACCGGAGATATTTCGATAATCAGAAAACGGGCATAGATTCTTTTTTTTTTTTATCTATCCTAACTTCTTTTTTTCAATTATATTTTCCAAAGGAATAATAGAAATGATAGGCGTTTCAAATGTGTTTTAAATTTAAATTTTATTCGATTTATATTTCGTGTTTAATGATCACGATGAATCGATTAATAATTTTCTCGCAATTCATCGCTGCGTCTTACAAAAAAAAGGAATAGCAAAAGTGTTTTTCCAGAAAGACGATCCAAGCATCCCGTCAAATAATTTTATCGCGTTCCCCCTCTCATAGGAAAAAGAAAAAGAAAAAAGAACAGGAAGTATCTCCGAGCAAATTCTCACCCCCTTATTTCCCAGCCGCATCGCATTTACGGCAACAATACCTACTAAAAGTAGCAAACAGCGATTCTTGGCTGGCTTCTACGCGTTATGCGAGACGATAAAAACTGTGTGTGGAGGCTGTGCCCGGTGCGTGTATCGAAGCCAGCCAAGCGGACGCGAGAGAGAGAGAGAGAGAGAGAGAATATACGTTAAAGCGGAGCCACCCCTCGCGTCGAACGCATCTCCGGAGCAGCAGGGTCGTGGAAGGAGGGGTTGCTCGTGGCATTTTGCCACGAGAAAACGAGAACGAGCGAGCCATTGTGCGTGCTCGAAAGCGGCGATGCGCTTCTCGCGCGCGTTGCACCGATGCAGAATGCATCGCGTGGATATGCATTCTGGATATGCCTTTTGCAGAGTGAGTGTCGTGGATTACGATGGATCGTTACGGTATGTGCACAGGGAACATTGTCGAGGAAAGTGGCAGAGGAAAAAAATTGGTTCGATTGATCAAGTTAATTCGATTTTTTATTTATAGATCGCTCGAGACATTTTCGAATATTACGACACTATTCTTTAGATTTGACAAATTTCTTGTAAATATTTATATGTGGAAAAAGAAACGATCGTTTCAATGGACTCCTCCGTCATCCTGACAATGAGGACAAAAATGAAGAGATCTAGTAATTCTTTCGATCCAACGGAAAATTGAAGAGATTTCAGACGATATTTAAAGAAAAACGTTGATTTCTCTGCTGATAATTCTCGTAACATAACGCAAAAAGATGTTGGATACAGGGAAATAAGAATGAATTTGAAGACGTTCTAGATGAAATTTCGTTGATAAGAAATGTATCCCGCGTTTCCTCTGGAATATAAGCCTGTCTCGTTTACGATTTCTGCGAGATGCCATCCCCCCAAACCGGTGAAACGAATTTTTATCGCGAACCCCATTTGGCACCGGTATCTCGTATTCCCCCGCAGCCAATAGCCCCGAAAAATCTGGATGTCTACGCATTAGATGTACTGCAAGTTTGAATTTTATCAAGAAACTTCTTGGCTCTTTGCCGGACGGTTGAACGTATCGATTGGATCGTTTGCAAACTCTTACCATTTTTTTCAAGGCAAAAGTATTATATTCTTTTCATCGTTGTATCGAGTACAACGTTATTCGAAGAAAAAAAAAAAAGAAATTAACTCTAAACACCGAATCAGTATAGTGTAGGATGAAAAGAAAGAAGGGAGAAGCTCGTCTACTCGGGAATATTCATGAAATCCATTTCCATCTGACGGCATGCCGAATGAATCTGATCCAAGTCCGAGGAGTACGCCTCGGGGATGACAGGCGTGCAACTATTAGCTGAAACTTTACTGGAGAACGATATTCGGCGGGGCCGCGGAATTAGCGAAACACTTAACAAACATGAAAGCATTTAGCAACGAGGCTCGAAAGCAACGATACCTAGCAGCAAGGAGATGCCTAATAGAGTCTCGTTAAAATGCAGTTCTCAACTTGGAGAACAGTCTGGCCGAACTTGAAATTACTTGGGAATCGCCCAGACCGAATTCTCCCCGAGGATATCTCTCGTTCCTTCGTATGGAAATCTTGTTTGTACATACCATTAAAATTTTTCTATCTTTTACAGAATTTAACGCGATAAATATATTTGACAGTTCGATCGTGAACAATTTTTCTGAAACTCTCGTGGATCTCGAAATGTGTTTAGAGATATTTTACCAAATTTTGAGGATCTTGAAGAATTTAGGAGTTCAAAATTCCAAATTTAGAGATCCTTGAAATATTCGGCGTTCCTTGGATCCTTCTTCACTTTGCTATTTACACAATTGCTTTTTACGTCGAAATCTCAAAATTATATCTGATAAAAAATTTATTTCGAATGGAAAATTTTGTCATTTCATATTTCTTCGTTGTTCGATGTATGTTAATAAACCATAGAAAGTAAATTCACTTAGGGAGATATCGGTGGGGAATCGCAAAGTGGAGGATCTATCATGATCAATCGCGTCTGGTATCCGCTGGAAAGTCGATAACAGCCGTGCACACCACGGTTATATCTGCCACGCTAGCGACGGAAATGACAGTCTACAGACAGCAATAACGACGCCACCCTTTCGAGGCCCCCCTCATCCCCTTCGTGTCTCAATTCATCCCAGCATCCCGATAGGACGTCGTGTCCGATAAATCCATGCTGTTTTATTGCGTCTTTAAACCAAATTACACCCCCTACCGTGTACATTTCGTTGCGGCGAAACGTTCCATCTGCGTCTGCTGCCTGCACGCACTCTAT